CCTCCCACCTGGGCACCCAGCCCTGGGTGGGAATCCAGACGTGAAATGTGCCCAAGCAGGTGTGAAATCTGCAGCTACTTCAGCCCAGGGGTTTTTGTGCCAGCCAGATCATCCAGCAGGGCCTGTTGGCAAAGTGTCTTAATGAACATTGCTCCATTGCCTTGGCACTTGGGCCTGTTCAGCTCCTACATGCATTTGGTTGTGTCTCCCGTGGGCATGAGGGTGTTGAGCTCTTGCCACTGCCTTTATTGGCCACATCCCTGCAGTCTGTACCTGGAGACTGTCTGAAATGCACAATTAGGAAATTATATTGTCTGCTGTGATCGTGGCATTGCCCTCAGCACCTTCTGGCTTCACAGGCAGGAGAGCCCAAGTGCTTTGCTCTGTTCTGGTTCCTTTGCTTGCTGAAGTGTTCTCTCCTTCCTGCTGTCCCAGGGACACCAGCACTGACTGGAGTCCAGCCCTGGAACCTCCCCACACCCACACTCGTGCGTAAACTTCAAACAAGAACTTTCTTGGCTGTTGGAAAAATCTGTTAAAATCTAGGAAGAAAGATGCCAGGAAAAGCTGTTGCTGAAATCTCTTCATCTAGGACAGGAAACAGAACTTTTAGACAGGCGTGGGAGAAGGAGCTGAAATGAAATCTCTGCTCAAACTGACGTTAAAGAGTCCTCAGAGTCTCTGAGATGCACCTGAACATCTGGATCCTTCTCCAGACTGAAGGGTGATCACGTGAAGGTTAATCAATATAGATGATCCTTCCAATTCCAGGTGGAGATAAAAGCAAAGTGAAGGTGTCAGTCCTCGCTCTGAATTCTGATGCTCATGCTGGTGGCTGCCATGGCAATCGCTCGAGAGCTTCTCCTGAGGATGCTCAGCTGCTGTGGAACATTCTGCTCCTTGCTGGGGCCTGTGCCTCCCATTTCACTGCTGGGACTCCTGCTCTGGAGGCTGCTGCTGCCCAGGAGGCAGGAGGAGATGTGTCCTTCAGTGCTTTCCCAGAGAGCAGATACTGTTGTGGTGAAAAAAGAGCTTTATTGGTTTAGGTTTCATGTTCTCCACCGGAGGCTGAGGTGGTGTGTACTGCACCTCTAATGAATAACATGGCCTGAAGGCATCTCTTACTGCTGGTTGAGAACTGTGTTATTAGAAATTCTGCCCTGGGGTGCAATTATATTATTGCAGTCATTAAGGGCAGTTCATCTCCATAATAATGGAAATCCTGCCTCGGAGGCCTCACTGAGTCCAAAGCTGTTACCAGCCCCTCCAGAAGGAGATTTTATAGGGAACAGCTCGAGCACACACACAGTGCAAATGCTGCTTGGAAACAGAGACTGTTCCTGTGTGGGAAAAGGCACAGGGGTTGTTTTCCATCCTTGATCTTCCCTTCACATTTCGGGGCAAAACAGATGATACTGTGGGGAAGGTCATCAGTCCTGGGAGTGCCTCATGGGGCCATGGGAGAGCATGGGCAGGGCTAAAATCCTCCTGTCCCCTGGGAAAGCCTCTCTCAGGACAGGGGATGCCTTTTTGGCAGGAATGGTCCCCGTGGAGCTGTGCAGGCTGCATCACCAGAGACAGTGGTGAACAAGCAGTGCTTGGGACCCTCTTGCCCCAGCACGTTCCTCAGCAGTTGTTTTACCCTTTCTCTATGCACTCTGGCACATACAGCCTGGAATTCCAAGCCACCTGCAGCTGTAGGGAGTCATTCTAAGCCAACAAGCACTGGGAGCTCAAGGTAGAAGTAGTGGCTTCTGGTCAGTGCAAAATGTGTCTTCGAGAGAGGTCAGAGAAATATTTGAGGCAAGTTCAGAATGTTTTTCTTAGCATTTGTTTCTCCTATATTCATATTTCCAGGTATGTTTAACCTCCAGTCTCTTTACCCTGACTCACAGTAGGGGAAAAGAGATTTTGGAGAGCTGTAATCCCATGGCATAGGTTGTCATTTCTCACATCCCAGCTACATCAGCATGGCTCAGAAGTGATGCTGGATTTAAACCTGTGGGATTGAGATGGAGTGTTACTGCCCTGCTGCCTGAGGCATTCCAAACAGGCAAAAAAACTTGGGATTTTTCTTTAACCTCCTGAACTCCTAAAGCCAAGTCCCCTCCAGCCCACAGTATTTCCCACGTGTGGCACATTATCCCTTGGCAGGAGCAGGAGGGGAAGTCAAGGCACTCAGATTGTTCCTGCAGGATTTTGTTAGTCCTCTCATAATAATCCAATTGCATCTAATGCCACAATGACAGATAAATTTGTCCTGAGCCTACTGCTTTAAAACCTTTATTTTCAGGTGAGCTTATGACAGAAACATTTCCATTTGTACTTCTGGTGTGGCTCCTGGGGAGAGCAGCCCTTGGCCACAGGTGTGAGCAGCTCATCCTGGTGCTGGGGGAAGGCAGAAGTGGCTGTAGTCAGCAGTGTTTGTTTCCCCTTCTCTGGGTGCAGGAGGAGAGTCAGGCTGAGTGTGGTCAGAGACAAATCCTGGAGCTGAGCAGAGTTCTGCCACTGAAATGGAAATCAGCCTCTGTCACAGCTGCTCCCACACTCCAAGCTTGGAGGAGCATCCTGCAATGCAACTGGAATTCCCTTTGAACTCTAGTTCAGGAAGCACTTTAAAAATCATTCAAACTGCTTGACTCAGCAGGTAATTTAGAGCAGCTAATTTAAAAGCTATTATATCTGCCTTAATTTTCATAGAAACTTCTGTAGCCCATGAAAACCAAGGCTGGAGCCCAACGGATCCACAGGTCCTTTGGAGCAGTGTCTGAGGGCTCAGCTGTGGGAGCTGTGGGGTTTAATGTCAGAGCTGAGACTGGTCTTGTTTGTGGCAGCAAACTGGGACATGTGTCACTGCACTGCACAGACTGAACTGGCTTTTAATAGCTTACCACCAGAGGCTGGTTAGTTAGACCATCTTGAGGAAATTTCTCACGGAATTGGTCAAGGGGTATATTTTGCTGTTGGCATGGAATGATTGTGCTGGAGCCATCTGGACATAATCCTGAATAATGGACTGCAGGGGACCTGCCTGAGCAGGGATGTTGGGCTGGGTGACCTCCAGTGGTGCCTTCCAGCCTGAGCCATGCTGGAGTGGCACTGGAAGGGGATGTTCAGCTCTGCTTCCTCAGGCAAGGTCTGCATCACTTCCCCTGCATTCCTCCTTTCCAGGTGCTTGTTTTGGACTTAGACTTTTAATTTACATGCCATAATGAGAATAATTCCAATTATTCCTTTCTGGCAGAGTGAGACACAGTGACATTTCCCAGAGGTGAAGCTGTAGCATTGTGTGGTTTGAGAGCAGAAGAGGGAGATACCATGTTTGCTCTTCTTGGCCTACCACGGCTTCCTGCTGTGTCCCTTCTCCTTTGCTCCCCAAGTGCAGGAAAACCAAGATAACTTTTATTTGAAACATCTACAGAACAGCCTTAATTCCTAATGTTCTCCTAACGCTATTGGAAGTCACATTGATGCTGCCACCAGACACATACTCGGGCCAGGACAGAAAAGTAATTGTACTTTTAAGCCCCCAAACAAATTGCTTTTCTCTCCTCCTCCTTCATGTAAAGCTCCTACATCATTAGAGCTGTTTCTTTGAATATACAGTGCTGCATTGTTTGTACAGTTTAATTGTAAGGCAAGAAATTCATAAGGAAACAAA